TAAATAACTCTAGTGATAGACAATTAAATCAGCGTGTACAAGGTTTTATACTGATTTTTGTCCTTTTTTTAAATCTGATTTGAATACCTTTCTAAATATTATGTACTAAACGTACTAAAGTTTTTTTCTAGTCTTTACACGCAAACCTACCACCTATGCTTCATTATCGCCAATTATTATACTGAACAAATCAAAAGATCTGAGCTGTTACAGATGTAAAAAAAATTGTGTTTTGTAAGTAGAAATGATTGCACATCGCACCAGGTGGATAGACTTTGATGATTAAACATTTAGAAACATTGCTGTGTCGATTGCATTGTGATGGATAAGTTGAAGCACCGTGTGAATGTGAGGTCAAGGTCACAACTAGTGAAAGTCAATGATGTCAAGGTCACAATTGGTAAAGGTCAAAGATATCAAGGACATTTCCAGGCACATGCTCCCAGGGTTCCCTGTCTGAAGAAGGCATAAAGTACGTGCTGCATCTCGTGGGAAACTTCCAGCCCAAAGTCCTCTCCTATTACGACATGCCAGGAAGAGCCGAACCTGTAGCCATTCATTCATTTAACTCACCAATTACCTCACTTCAAAAATAGAGCTAGAAGCTTGAAATATTTTACCCATTTTGATAACATATGACCACAACTGGTTGTTACAACTAGTCAAAACATGATATTTTAAATCAGCTCAAAATGGACATCAAATTGAATTTTTGTATCTGTCAACGATTGCCACCTACTTTTTATCTAAGGCCTCTTTAACAACGCGTGACACGGATTCGTTGCACGAAGAATGTTTGCCAAACGCTTCGCAGAACAAACGAAGCGTTTCGTCGCACATCGCCGCAGTCATGTCCGTTTTTCTTACGATAACATCAAATGGCGTCTGAGTGTGATAGCATGCGGATGAGCGGGTTGCAACAACTGAATGCACATAATGCAGTTCCTCTTCTTCTGAGCAGTTAGTAGAGGTACTCCGAAAAGCTGTTCGCACAACTGCATTTGATGCCAGGATTGACATCTCTGTTCAAAATTCAACAGCGTTACTATTCGCTTCAACAAAATTGATTCACATATCTAAATCTTAAACATATATCGATTCGAATTTATTGACAGAGCTCAAAAAATTATAAAAATCCGGCGAAAAAAATTCAAGATCCAACAACTAATTTGCATCCCAGGACTTGCTACATTGAAATTTTGAAAGCATCCTGGATATCAAGCTATCGAATTAAATTAAATTAGGAACAGTGTTGTGTGCTCGGGTTAGCATGAAGATCATTTTCATTTCATATTGAGAGAAAAATAATGAAAAACTTAGGTACTTTAATGAAAACCTTAGTTACTCATATCTGTCCGATGAGTATGTAAATTATATAGCTAAATATGTTCTCTAAGTAGTAGTTGGTATTTGTGTCTGAAAAATATCATCTTGAAGCTCCTGGAATTCGAAAAATCTTTCGATTAAATTTTGGAAATATACGTTACCTTTTGATCAAGTTTTCTCTAACATTATCAAACAAAAGTCAAAATTTCCAGGCGTTCATTCAATCACGTTTTGTCCCTCCATTTGCACTGACTTGATTGTAGAGCATAATCTGCTTTCTTTTCAGCAAATGGTTTAAAAAAAACAACTTATAAGACTTTTCGTCTGCTTTGATAGACAAGGCCATTCTTTTACGTTATAACAAAAGCCCTTCAACATAAAGCAAGCTAACTTAAATCGATCTCAATTTTCTCAAACAGACCTTGCCGCTATTTTTTACACAGAGGCGAAGCGGAGCTTCTCACCACTTGCAACACAACAACCGTAAGTAGAAAAAAAGAAAAATGTTGAAAAAAACTGGAACGACCAATAATTAAACTTTCATATGTCTCGACAGAAGTTGATTCTAGGAAACCATGCCAGATGTTTTAATATTAAATAAGCAACTGAACAAAACTGAGGAACAAGAAACAAAAACGACAACCTCTGAGCATACAAGTTTTAAGCCCCCATTGAAACTAGATTGAACAACAATTGCACTTGCAATTACAATGAAAACTGCTTATAGCACAAGCTAAATCCGTGATGAGGCAATTAAGCCGACGAAACTTGGGCTGACAAACGAAAGTCCCACAATTCAACTTTTACCGAAAAATTTTCAATTGAATTCATACTGAAAAAAAATCAAGGACCGGCTGAGACTTGAGCCCGAGACCTGATGGTGCAAAGGCGATGGCGATACCTCTAGGTCAAGTTAGAAGGCACCTGAAAATTTCAAAAATTCAATAATAAAGAACAGATTTGTAAGGAGAAGATGATAAAGAAGAAAAGAACATAACACGGAGGCGGAGCGGAGCTTCGCACCACTTGCGACTAAACACAAACATAAGTCGCAAAAATAAAAAACGTTAAGAAAACTAGTTCTATCAAAAATTAAATTTTCGTATGTGTCGATAGAAGTTCAATCCAGGCTAACATGGCAGAAATTTGAGTACTAAAATAGCAGACACTAAGCCGACAATCTTTGAGCAGACACCTGTTGCGCCGAAAAAATGAATTCCTGAACCTACAAAAAACAACACTTGCACTTCCAATGAAAGTTGCTTACAGGACAAACAAGATGTGTGATGTAGCAACTAAGCCGACAAAACTTTAGCAGAATAACGGATGCCAGACCTTCAATTTTTACTGTTATTTTTTCAATTGCATACATACCGAAAAAAAACAAGGCCTTGCTGAGAGTCAAACCCCAGACCTTAGGGTAAAAAGGCGACGGCGTTAACTCTAGGCTAAGTGGGAAGGAACCTGGAAGTTGAGAACTGTTTGGGACAAGATTTTTTGGATCGATCGAATACTCGTCAAAAATTTTGCTGAATTTCGTTAGCAATTATGCTAAAATATAAGTCGACATTTTAATTCTGTTAAAGCTATGGCGCGAGGCATATTCAGTGCCAAAGCTGAGCTTCAAAGGCATTTTTTTTCTGAAATCTGACGCAATATCAAAATGGCTAGCAGAAGGACCGAAATTATCGCTTTTTCGTCATTCCTGCTTTTGATCTAGTTGGAAGAGCAAATAGTCGAGATTTGCAGAGCGATGGGTTGAACTGCTGATGGTATTGCAACCGATTGTGTGAAATTTTGGTTGAGGTCTCTCATTTTTCGGGTTTCAGTTTTACCACAGAGATCCTGGTCATAGTCACCATGTTGCTAAAGGATTTTGTTCTGATTTTTTTGTTGAGCGGTTCCGAATTATCGAGTTTTTAATTTCGCATCTTAAAATTCAAGTGCAGAGATACTTAGAATAGGTTTTTTTCGCCAAACAGAAGCCAAAATCACCAGAAACCACAACTGAGAACAATAATTAAGAACGAAGTAAGAGAAGAAAGGCAAATTTGTTCAAACTTTGTCAACTAATTTGATCAGCGATCAGACTGTAGTGAAAACTGAATTAAAACTATTTTTTAACACCCAAAACAGAAATTTAATGTGGCCCTTACTCTAGCACAAGACAGAACAATGTTATAAAATTCGGAACCTTCAAATTCCGTACGACTTAACAGGAGAGGACTAATTTGATCAGACTCATTTGAGTTTTTTGCCAAAGACCGATATAACGCAAGGTAATATAGTTTAGGTTGTGAAAACTAATATACATGAAATTTTTGGTTTAAAATATGAGGTTAGAAAAAGTGGGATGAACTGTTAGAGCAAAGACGGACAACTTTTTCATTTGAAATGAATTAAAAACTGACGAAAATTTTAACTACCTCAAGGAAAGCTCGCCTGGAATCAAGTTTGGTATCATATTATCATACTAAAATCACAAAGGTTGAATTCAGAACCCATAAACATTCAGAGAAGTTCTGTCCAGGTCAGGAAAAACTGGTCACACAATGCATTTCAGACACAACTTAGGCAGTAATTTTGCAAGAAAAACTTGTCAAACTAATTGCAATTCAGACACAAATAAGTAGTCATAATATTGTCGAATATTGTCGTCAGGGGTGGATTTAGGGGGGGGGGGGGGTTCAGGAATTCGACCCATGCCGACCCAAAGGGTTCCTTTTTGCCTTATTTTGCGATATCCATTTTTGGCTGACTGACGCAATAATTTTTCTAAAGGCGCCAATATATACTAATTTTGAGGTGCAGCGCGCGCCGAAAAAACGCGATTTTTTGGTAAAATTTTCTAAAAAACGCTTTTTTTGCTGTTTTTTTTTCAAAAATTTGACTGCGGCGCAGAAAATTTAACAATAATAGAGTCTTTATAATTATTTGTGAGAACTCAGAAAATCAATTTGGTCAACCTAAAAAAGGTCGACAAAGTTGTCCAAGCTTATTTGAAATTCTGCCCCCCCCCCCTCGAGAAAAACCTAGATCCGCCCCTGATTGTCGTGTAAAGGGAAAATAGTGGATTCATATACAGTGAAACTCTTTGTTATAAGAAATCACTAACCAATCGTTGTTTTTAAATATCGAACACAGATGCGAAACTTCGCTTTGCAAACACCTGCGAGAACACGACAAAAAGCAGCTCTATAAAGTATGATAAAGAAATAAGCCTCGAGTTAGCAAGAAAGTCAGTTAGGTCTGAAATTCGAATCTGCGACATAGAGATTATGAGTCTCACACCTTCACCACTCAACCAAAGAAGCTTAATAGTTAATAGCCAAACACTAGTAACAAATAAAGCAGAGAACAGATGCTATGCAAGTTCTAATGCTACAGTAAAATTTCCAAATAAGTGAACACTTTTTTGGCGTGCTAAGTTAGAGAACAAGAAGGATTGTAACAACACTAAGCTGACGTTAGTGTAAAGAGTCACCGTATGAAATCTGGTATTTGGAGTACTGTAAGAAAACTCAAAATGAAATAAAAATCAAACTTTAAAGAATTCTCGTTTTAATTTGTTTTTACGGTTCACAAATCTCACACCAAATGTGCTCACACCAAGAGTGTTCGATATTCTGAAGGGGAGCTGCTGATTCAGTCGAAAATTCAAACAGTTGAAAATTTTGATATTTTTTGTGCTGTGGTTTTAGTTGTGATAAGACGAAGACAATCAGGAATTCATGTATTCTGATCGTATGATCATACGATTATAATTGGACCTTCAATATGCAGTTACCAGTACACAGCCACTTGTAGAGGATCGGTGTCTTGAACACCCAAAGGTTGGGTGTCCCCTTTGTTAATATTTTATGACATTCATTTTTTGCAAAAAAAAACTTTTCTCAAAGCGCCAGAATATACTAATTTAGAGTTAAAAGTCAGCGCCGAAAACTGTCTTTCTAAGTTATTTGTTCAAAGTTATTTTGAAGTCAGTAAAAATTTAGTAAAAATATTTTTTCAAACAATTTCATTATTTGGTTCCTTACCATTTCAAACGCGTTTTATCGCTTAACCACCAAAAACACTAGTCATGATTAAATCAGCTACATATGCTAATAAATTGCCAATGCAATTCAGCAAAAGTGGAACCAAATACAAATAGACACCATTTTGCAAGTAATAATTTGAAATATCACAAACTTAAGGCATCCACACTAACTTTGCAAGTAACAAATGGCAAAGCCTTAAAACCATATCATGTATAAATTGTGCATTTTAAAAAATTGCCATATATATTGAGTTTTAAAAAATTCTGAAATCGAGTTTTTATGATTGTTATGTTTGAAACAAATAGCTTTTTTCGGTCCAATTGATGAATTTAAAATGCTTCAACTGTGTTAACCTATTATTACTCGAATGTCAAAGCGCATGCTATCAATAAGCTGTAAAGGTGCCCAGTTGGGAAAACTGGATCAAAAGGCAAGTTTTTTTCGCTAGGAAGTCTGAAATTTAACTGCATTTTCGAAACTAAAAGTTGATAACGTTTTTTACGACCTTTGAACTTTTGCTGTCGATTGTGGAGAAATGAACTGAACTTAAAAAGAAATCAAAGTCAAACCGCGAAAAGGTAAATTTGACCCTGAACAAACTTTAAGTCTTTTCCTGAAATAAAACGAAAAAATATCGCGACCTATACAAGAGTCTAAGCTATATATCTTATAAATCGATTCAACATTTTTGGCAATGATAACAGTGATCGGTACATACTACGCTACTTGCCTGTCTAACAACTTTTCTTCTTATTCGTTTTGAAACCAAAACATGGGCAATCGAAGATTGGAAAAGAGCAAGGAACGCAAGTAAACATAAAAAAACACTGACGTTCTTGAGAAAATCTCAACTTTTTTTTTCAATTTTCAACGAAAAAAAAGTTGCGCTTTAAGCTTTTTGAATTTCTAGAACAGTTTATGATTGGCACTTTTTTGATAACATTAAGCCAACTTGAGAAAACTGGATCAACAGGTAAAGTTTTATTCCACTGGAAACCTAAAAAATAAACTCCACTTTCGAAACTAGAAATCGTTCACGAACTTTTGCGCCATTTCCTAATTCGTATTTGGAGATTGATTTTAACGTCACTATCAGCATATCAATTTCAATTGAACTCAAAAAAAGCATATCTACCTAAGTGCATTCATAAATGCATCAATATGCACATCTTATTAGCGACTTTTAACATTTTTCCTAAAAAGCAAACAAAAAAATTAGTAAGACCTATATAAGAGTCTTCACTACGTTCAATATTCTTAAAAACCAAAACAGGTCGTGGTTGGGCTCGAACCACTACAAGCTCTGCCTAGAAATAAATATCAGAAATTCTTTTCGCCTGCTTTGTGAAAAACATATGTTAGACAAGAAAGCATCAAAAATTTTCACTTATCTAAGTCTTTTCGCAGCCAGCCCATCAAATGATATAAAACCCTTCGTGGTCCTTATCTCCATTGCCTAAAGTTATTTTTCGGTCATTTACAAAAAAATGATTTTCATTAAAAAATTAATTTAAATCAACTATGCTTAAATAATTTCATACCAATAATTGAAAAAATAAAAGGACGAACAATCGTTTGAAAGCATTACAAAGTTTTTATTATTCTAACTTTGCAAATATTAAACAAATAATAGATTCACCCCATGGATTCATTATTTATTAGAATTGAGCTGTAAATCATGAGTCAACGTTTTGACACTAGAAAATACATTACAAAGAAACTAGAAATTATTGCACGCACCATTATTATAGCTGCGAAATGATTGCAGTTGCCGCAAAGGTACAAAACATTTTGATGACTCATCTTATCCTCAACTAGCAGAATATGGAATAGCAGAATAGGTGTTATTCGTATATCTTCTGCGTCAATCGTGGTCTTCTAAGTAATCGCAATTTTTGAAGGCAGATAACTATGGAAGCAATGTGTTCATTCTGCAGAGAGAAAAAAGTTAAGACGATATTTTTCTTTCAATTGAAGACATTTTCTAGCTTAAAATAAGATTGAATAATTCAGTGGCATTGGCGAGTGGATCAATCTGTCTTCACAAAAGGGCTATGGTATCTCCTCTATAGGGTGTTAGACTTCTGTAATTGTGAGGGAGGGGGAGGTGGTGGTGGGTGAGGAGGTGGTTGACTCTACTTCTTCTTGCTCCTGCCCAGAGTGGCGGTAGATGACTGCTGCTGTGAGGTGGAGGAGGAGAGGGCGGCTGCTGCTGCCTGCTCCTCCAACATCCTCCTCCGCTCCTCCTGTGCCTTTTCGAACTCACACTTCGCCGTGTCCAACTTACTCCGCTCCTCCTCCAACTCCAACTTCTTGATCTCCAGCTCACCCTTATACATCACATACACACATTACAGGTAATCAAAAACAATACTTCTTTTCAAACTGAATGTACACAAGAATGAACCAGTTAGAACCGAGTTGTGTGACTCATTCTGAAACACTTCGCTCTCAGCCACAATGTAACGGGCTCAAATCAAATCCTGGGCAATTTTGTTAGATACTGCACGAAAACATGGATTTTTGAATCTTAAACCATCACTGGTAGCGTCATAGTCAGGGGCGGATCTAGGTCTTTCTCGAGGGGGATCAAAGATATTTCGAAAATTTTAGATCGACCAAATTGATTTTCTGAGTTCTCCCAAATCATTATGAAGACCCCATTTTGACAAAATGTTCTGCGCCGCATCCAACTTCTTGAAAGAAAAACAGGCCAAAAGGGCGTTTTAGGGACTTTTTAGAAAATTTTGTCCAAAAAATCGCGTTTTTCGGCGCGCGCTTCCTCCTCAAAATATATTAATTTTGAGGGGGGAGCGCGCGCCGAAAAATTTCGATTTTTTCGTCAAAATTTTCGTCAAGATTTTTTCGTCGGTCAGCCAAATATAGATATCTTAAAATAATGAAGGGCAATTTGTCAAGAAGACAATCCAAACTAGCGGCAGAAATTTCTGATTTGACATTATCCATTAGCCATGTGGAGAGAATGTGGCGGACCTTGAGTTTGTTGTATTTATTGGTTAGACTCTGCTCTGCAATCTGCAGCTCGTTCTCCTTGTCCTTGACCCTCCTGATGAAAGTGGCCCTCATCTCATCCTCCCTCCTCTGCAGGTCAGAGGTCACTCTTGCCCTCTCTCGTTCGATCGTCTCCGTGAAGCTACACACGCAAAATCACCATTTTATTCAGCTTAAATACACCAGTTACTTTTCTCAGACACCAAAATAATGTCTACCGAAGTCTTGAAAATAAGTTAACGCTTCAAATCTGAGATGAAACCAACAAAAAGTATTTCTGAGATTCATCCACCTTCAAATTAATGAACACAGAGGCGACGCTGAGCTTCGCACCACTTGCGACACAAATTTGATTAAAATCAATCAGAAAAATTTGAAAAAAAAATCATTTTTTGTCAATAAAAAATTGTCAATAAAAAAGCGGTCTCAAGCAGTTGTGTCACCTCTACGCCAAATCTGTTCTCAAATATCATCATCCCCTCTCTTGATTAATCGCTGATCAAATCTTTGAATGAAGCACAGGAACTCACGATAGATTTGCGTCGGTGGATGCGACATAGCCCATCTTAGGGAGGCGTCTCTTGCGGAATGCCTCGTAATGCACTTCGCTTGTGGAGACACAGAGATCGCACAGGTTCCTGTTTATGACTGACTGGCGAAACAGCTTGAAGTCACAATGCTCCTCGTTCTCCACTGGAACCACAACACACACTAAGCTATTTTTTGAGAATGATAGTTCCAATAGAAAACTTAATCAATATCGAACAAAAATTTTCATAAATTTCAACCTGTCAGCGGCTCTTTATCGTGACCAAAAATGTATTCATTCAAAAGAAACCGACTGATTTTGATAATTGACACCAACTGGAGCATTCAATACTGTATTTGAAGTGTCTCGAAAAGGTTTTAAAACAATTGACGGAAACAGCTAGCTTAAAAAAGAATTAATGATAAAAGGTAAGTAGTGAATTAAGAGTAGTAACCATTGACGGTTCCCCACGGGTACACTCTGACCCTGTGTCCCTTCAGTTTCTCGTGGCTGCCCACAACTGCAAAAGGGACAGTCTTGTTCGCCTCTGTGTTGTCACTCACCAACTCCTCATTGCTCTCATCGTCCAGTGGGAACAGATAAGGTACTATCCCGTTATCACACAACTCCTCCCTTATCTATTCCAACATCATCACATTGAAAAAAATCTATTTGAGTAGAAAATCGGGTTAATTTCACAGGCCTACCATAGCTTAAACATTTTTTGTGTTCGCCACTACAAACATCAAGTTTGAGTGGTAATCATTACGCTACCACTAGTTTAAAACCTTCACAGAATTGAATAATTAGACAATACTTTATTAACTTATCGGCTAATACATATATAGAGATGAACTTTACGCCTAGGATACTTATACTACGGAAATAAACTAGCACGGGAGCACGGGTTCAAGAATTAAATCGATGCAGTGACTAACCTTCTTTTTGAACACTTCGAGTTCTGGCTTGGTAATTGTGTCTGCCTTGGCAATGATTGGCACCAAATTCACTTTGTCACTTAGCTTTTTCATTGTCAGAATGTCCAGCGGCTTCAGTCTGGAACACATTCATCATATTAAAATAATTTCATTCCGTCTTAACATGAAGAGAATTGCATAAATTTCAAAATAGTTTCGATATCATTCTTTTCAGTATGACGAATTAGATCAGTAACTGTTACATCATTGCTGGAGTATTACACTTATTTATACATAACAATTTCAAGTGTGTTCAGAACGAAGGTACAATTAGTAGTTTGAAGTGGAATGCACTTGCCCATGTCCATTGGTTGTGATGAAGTAGAGACAGAGATGCACTCTGGGATCTGGGAAAAAAGAGAGGTTCCTCTTGATTCTCAACTCCTCCTCAAGGTACTTCTCCATCTGATCTTCCACATACTTCACCAACACATCTCCACTAAACATTTCAACACATTTAAATGCAGGCTAAATAATCAATATGCAAAAAGGAGAGGAGATATTTGGGAACTAGTTTTCTCGCAATCATCTGCATGTATGAATTGCAGTTTTGTGCACTTTGAAGCTCTCTATTTTGAAGACAATAGTCTTTACTTCTTGGAAAATTAGAAGACATCATTCAGATCCGACATACTAGCATGGTATATGGATAATATTACAGGACATTAACCCGATTAAACAGTATCTTCTCAATACTCGGTTGTGCATTCCGACCAAGAAGACACTTCCCAGAAATTGAACCAGAAAACCCATATCGCAATCGCTTCCCCTCCTTTCCAAAAAAGGCAGCGCAAAGGAAAAGACACTGTGATTTTTAGAAGAGGTACTCAAAAATGGTTAGGTCACTCGTTATGCTACTCCCAGTGTTCGGCGCCGAAAGTAGCCCAGAGCCCACATTAAAACCCAAGACCAGTAATGGCCTGATTACATACTCGCAAGCAAGTGCCTGCTGCAACTGGATCCACTTGAAACGTAGTTAACTGCAACCCATCATTTATCACATACTACTACTGTCCAAATTGTTATCAACTGTAACTACTACCCAATATCCAATTGCGCCTATCCCAAGACTAACCATGACGGCCCATATCCAACACTTCTATCAAAAACAGTGCTACCAACCACAACCCACTAATTAACAAACTCCAGAAAGCAAACCTCTTCCCCTGTTTCGTCTGGTCGCTCCACCAATTCGCTCGTCCCTTGTCGCATAATACAGCGCGTAGAAGCACAAAAAAAACAAGGCTCCAAGTAAGCGGGCACCTATTGCCCCGAACACAAAAATTGCAACTCTCAGAATGACTCGTCCTCAGAATCACACCATTCTCCAGAACAACTCCCTAAACTGTCTCTAACTGTTTCAGCGAAATCGCAACATTATACAGTGTATTTGAGGCAGCCGATCTCGCCCTCTACTTCGAACTTATACTAAAAACTATACTCAGAAACAAGAACATAATTCGCGAAAACCGAGAGAAAGATGCCCGAGGCCTTCATTTCCCAGTATCTAAAGATATTCCTTAAGAAGCAACAACAGCCACTGAACTCAAAGATCAATTAATTGTTCAGCCAAAACGAAGAGAAGTCATGGCAGGAGTCCAGGACTTCATGCAACTAAAGAACAAGGTTAGAAAAAACTTGGCGGCTCATTAGTACCTTAAACAAAACTGGAACACCAAATGCCAGCCACAATATAATTAATTTTTGGCATAAAATTCTTCGCTATAGCCATTGCCGTTTATACTCAACCGAACCATACAGACAAGAAAATCTGTAAAACTGAACCGAGACAAAAAAGAACGTCAAGCGGGTTCTCTTTAAACGAGTTAGTTTTACGCTGAATAAAGAGAAACGGATAAAAGCGGCGCCGTACTACTCAACGAAATCTATCAATCAGAACCCCTCGTTACCATAAGTTTCGAAAATGCGAGAGCACAACAACTGACCAAACCCCCCAAAGCTCAGTGTTAAGAGTAAATCACCACACCCTGGTAGAAAAACTACATTCTGTCGGATACAATGTGCCTCTGGCTAGGTAACTACTCGAGCATATTAGGCCAAAACCCGATTTAGAGACCCATCTCTCCAAATCAAGAATAATTAGCAGCGGAGCCCCTGAGTTATCAACAATTGGAACCAGGCCTGAATTTGAGGCCCCGGCCCGGTTGCTTCAGGCCTGGGCACCGTTAACAAACAAATTTTTTTAATGAGAACACGAATTTCTTAACAAAACGTAAATTGAATCTCAAATGTGAACTTGTTCAACAAAATCAAAAGTTAATAGGTCAATTGGCCTCAGCCGATCCTAGCAGTTCGATATAGCTGACTTTTGCCGCCGAAAGGAGGCTGCGCTTGGCTGTCCGGATTTGCTCAGCTCTAAATTCAGAGTGGCCACTTGGAACGTGGGTACCCTGAAAACTAGGAGTGCTGAAGTGCTGGAGACTTTATCGAGGAGAAAAGTTGACATTTGCGGGGTCTAAGAGCACAGGTGGAAAGGTGATGTGGCAGCTAACCAGGTCCGTACCCTGAAAGTCAAGGGCGACAAGTACCGCGTCTACTACTGTTCGAACAAATCAGGTCTTGGCGGAGCCGGTGTGCTCCTTGCTGAAAGCTGGGCGGACTAAGTTATTGAAATGCAGCGCATCTCTGACAGAATTATTATACTCAAAATGATGATTGTAAAGATAATCCTCATCTTTGTCTCAGTTTATGCACCGCAAGCTAGCATGCCCGCCGCTGTCATGGAGCTTTTCTTTGATCAACTATCATGCTGTTGCCAATATTCCAGGTTCTGAGATACTAATCCCGGTTGGCGACTGGAATGGGCATGTCGGATTCACTGCCAGTGGTTACCAAGAGGAATATGGTGGAAACTAACGGCTCGCTTAAAACAGAGGGCGAACGTCTCCAGGAATTTGCTGTTGCCAACGGCCTTCGAGTCGGCAACACCTGATTCAAGAAGAGAGACTCCCACCTCATCATACAGCTCGTGTGGCCACGCTACGCAGCTGGACTGCATTCTCTATCGAAATACCTTTAGCAGTGCCGTTTCTGACTTTAAAGTTATTCCAAACGAGGAATGCGTCCAGCAACATCACCTTGTGTGCGATCTCGCTGTACACTTACCCCGTGCGAAGAAGTGAAAGTTCATACCTCGCATACGCGCATGGAAGCTTAGAGATGCTGCCATAGCCAAACAATTCCAGGAGGCCCTTCAGAGACACGGGATGTCAACTATTCAGTCTAATAATGATACAACCAGTCATGTCTGGTCTCGCCTCAAGTTTCCGACTCTGAAGGCTGCCACTGAAGTACGTGGCCTATCAACGAACCACAAGTGGATACCTGAAACTTGGTGGTGGAATGAACAAGTTGACCATGTTGTGCAAGATAACCGCTCGCAATTTAAGATTTCCAATTCCTTGATGAAGGTAGGCAAGACGACTGAAGCGCTGAAGGCTCGAGAGTTATCTGGAAGCAAAGCGCAAGTCAAAACATACTGTTTACCTAGCTAATTCTAATGCTGAGAAGTCAAACTTCGCCACAGTGACTCTAAATGGTGTTGGTGTCTTTCAGATCGCTAAGCAGATGGATCGCGCTAATCAGGACATCTCAGGCGCGAGTTGTGTGCGGAATGATGCCGGTAGGCTATCTATTCTTGACAAAGATAAACTTAAGGCGTGGATTGAACACTATGCCAGACTTCTCAATGTAAACTTTGATTGTCCAGGCCAAGTGAGACGCTCCCGAAGACTGCGAGCGTCGATTGCTGGACAGCCGCCTGAAGTTTCTAGAGAAATGATAGTCATGGCCCTCAGCAAAATGAAGTTGGCCGTCTGGCATTGTTGCTGAGAAGCTGAAGGCAACTGGAGATCTTATCGTCGAACTGATGAGGCAACTAACTGAAGCTGTTTTCAAAAATGGTGTTAACCCCACAGACTGGGAGGAGAGCTACATTCTGAATCTTCACAAAGGCAAAGGAGAGGCCCTCAATCGTGGCAACTATCGAGGACTGAAATTCACAGATCAAGTCATGAAGCTGGTAGAACGAGTACTCAATCCAATCATTCGTAGGATGGAGCAAATAGACCAGATGCAGTTTGGCTTTGTACCTGTCAGAGGTACCACTGACGCCATATTCAACATTCGACAGCTACGAGAAAAAATACTTTGGTGCTAACAGGCCTCTCTACTGTGCTTTCGTGGATTTCGAGAAAGCTTTTGACTGTGTACCCAGACAGGTACTGTGGAGGGCCCTTTGAAGTATCGGTGCCAAAAATGTACGGTAATGCCGGGAGTCGGGTTCGAGTAAACGGTCAGTTCAGCGAAAAACTCATGTCAGTGTCGGTGTCTTCTCACAGCGATTCAATCAAGGTGGCAGATACGCTTGATTAATGCATCGCTAGACTCAGGATCTGGAAAACTGGCATGGAGAGTAAAGGTCTGCGAGTCAACATGAAAAAGACAATTTCCTGATCTCAGGCATAAGCCTGGATCTCCTCAAGGACTCTGGAAAGTACCCTTATGCTTTCTGTCGTAAAAGTATAGGAAGCAACTCCATTGCTTGCTCTCAGTGCAAGATGTGGGTTCACAAGAATATCAAGCCGGCCGGTAGCCAACCCAAAATATGTTTGCTCTTCGAACATGATTGATGTTGAGCCAACTTTCTGCTACCTGGGTGACATGCTCAGTGCGGGTGGGGGCTGTGATAGTGCAATTGATGCCAGATGTTGCTCAGCCTGGTTTAGATTCAGAAAACTACTCCCTATACTAACTTCGCAGCACATCTCATTCAGAATTCGCGGAAAAAAGTAGTCTTCTTGTGTACGATCAACGATGTTGCACGGAAGTGAAACTTGGGGTCCGAACGTATCAGATCTGCAACGACTCCAACGAAATGACCGTGCAATGATCCGTAGGATCTGCGTTGTTAAGCCCGGTATGCATGACCCAGGTCCACTTCTTGATAAACTTTACTCGTCGGGACATTATCAACGTCCTTCGGAGCAGACGCCTCAGATGGTTTGGTCATGTTGAGCGCTTCATGCATCAAAATGGCCAATGATATGAAGATCTCGCCAATCAAAAGGCGTGGGAGACCAAGAAAATTTTGGCTAGATTGTGTGAAAAATTTAATCAAGGAACGTCGCCTTACCTACACTGACCTGCAAGACCGTATTTTATGGAGAGCTGCACTTCGACAATGCCTGGTGCTGCCGACCCCATCTGACGGGACAGGAACAGCACCATAACCAAAAATCGGATATGATGGGAAACCAAACTGTGCTAGCAACATGCAAGGCAACGACCAAACTGTTTTTCGAAGTAGCCGTTTGTTTCAGGATGGTCACATGCTTGCAGTACAATATCACTCAAAAATTATTAACTGCGAAACGCAGCCTTCCGTCAATGATGTACCAAAATAGCAAAAACATGCCATCTCCCACACAACAACAAATTTTCCACCAACCCACCACATGAATCTCTTTTCCTCGCAGTAAATCATGGGCTACCACTTGAACAGCCATGCCATGTAAAAATATTTCAAATTCAATCCAAACCATGTTACTCCACCCTCGAAGGTGAACCTCCTTCAAACAAACGTTGCAACACATCTCAGGATATGGCCAATTCAAACAAGTAAACAGACATAAACAGCACGCAAAATGGACTCTACACTGTGGTCCAGTCGCATCGAAGCACTTAATTTCCTCGTACTGAATCTTTAAAGTACATCAATATACTTTGCTAATAACGGTTAGCGTCGAGTCAACTGAGGCTCATGTCCTCGACTGCTAACCACTTCCTTGTACCTTGGTGAAGAGTTTCACTGATACAGAAAAGCGAAAATAATTCGACACCAAATCACTGCTATTAAAACGCCACCTCGTTTGCCAGCTGGGTATTCCATCGGAACACCGGAGGTTCCAGTAACTGAAACTCGATCCCCTTTCTACGACGAGACACTCGGGGCACAATTGCGGGCCTTAGACGAAACGAAATTACAACAAACTTCTGAGGATTACAAAACATCCAAAACATAATTGAAATATTCACAAAATAGCCAACAGACAGTTGGAAAAGAGTCAATGCACGCAAGTGATCAGAAAAAAAAAAACAGAAAAGAGTTGTTTGTGAATTTAAAATATTCGAAACTCAAAGCAAAAAATTATGGCCTTAAAATTCTCTCTAGAACAATTTATGATTGACAATTTTGTAATAAGACTGAATCAATTTGAGAAAATTGGATCAATAGGCAAATTTTATCCGCTGGAAAATCTCAAAATTAAAACTCATTTTCGAAACCAGAAATCGATCACGTATTTTTGCGCCATTTCCGCGTCATAATTGGAGAGCGCAATTTTTATACCCAAGTGCATTCATAAATATAATAATGTATGATGCACTTCTGCAAAAAAAATAGAGCAAAACTTTTCCTGAAAAAAATTCATCACGACGTTACATAAGAGTCTGAACTTTGTTCATCGAACCTTAACAAGAATTACTGAACAAACGAGTCAACCCATTATAGAGGATACCCAACAGAAAAAAAAAACGATGCACTTCCCCAGAAGCGGCAGCAACAACACTTGGTTTTGTTTTTCTTTGATAACCAGTAACTTCAAGGCCAAATGTGGTACTCGGCATTTCCAGACAAATCATGGGTACATTAATCAAGGTTAGATTTTGCACAGTAACTACAAAAAATGATTAGATTGTTAAGCAATGATTTAATGTGGATAAAAGATTCGGAAATAGGGATATATTCCAAACTAAACAATTCAACAAATAATACTCATGCTTAATTTCGGTTCCGCTAAACAAAAATAAGGAACTTAAAAGTTTGCTCGCAATGATTGTTTAATATTGCTGAAGTAAAGTCAATCACTTTCTTCAAATTGAACTTACACTTTGGTTCTTAGAACCCTTTTTGTTGACATTCTAAAATTCTTTGTTTTTCTGTAAACTGTAACACTTTGTAACAACTAAAATGAACATATCAGGTTGCAACAGAAAAATTGTTCGTTTCTAAGACACCAAATGTATTTGATTTGATACAGGCATGAAACATTCACGTCAAGACCGGTCGGTCACATCACAATTAATTCTTGTTTCCTAGCTTCTATCCGGCATTCAATAGTGTTACCTAGTTTCCGTGCTCAGCTGATCTCCATATCCACAAGTGTCGATAACCTTCAGGTGCATTCTGACATTCGCCTCTGTCACAACTAAAAAATGTTAATTAAACTAAAACCATTTTTCCAGAATGAAAATGACCAACACTCGAGCCGCTCAGCTCATTGCAGAGCACCGCTGTTAAACCGTTATGATCTAGATGCGTTTTTCAGGACAGAAAGCTAAAATACCATCCATACCGCAAACAACGGTCACGGACAGATCATGATGGCCTACACAACCTATCGCCATTTTGAAACACAGCCAACAGACAATTGGAAAAGAGTCAATTAACGCAGAGAAACAGAAAGGAAAAACTGACTTCTTTTGTGAAAACTGGATCAAGTTTTTATTCCGCTGGGATATCTAAAAACTCAATTAAACTTTTAAAACTAGAATTCGATCTTTGCTGTCCGATAATGGAGTTTGCCTTTCTTTTAACAAATGAAATGAACTAAACTTAAAAAGAAAACAAAAGTAAAATTGCGAAAAAGTAGATTGGGGCCTGAACAAATTTTAAGATTTTTCCTGGAAAAAAATTATCACGACCTATAAAAGAGTCTACACTACGTTCATCGACTCTTAATGCGAGGTTGATAACTTCATCCACACTTCGACTGAAGAGAGGATTAAATAGATAACTGAAAGTGGTTTAATTTTCCGCAAAAAAGCTGCTTAATTTTTCGAAAAGGCCGAGACCTTAGCCTCTTGAGCACCTATACCCCCACCCGAGACCGAAAAAAATAGCCAAAATGAGGGTTAAATATATGGTTAAAAGCAGTTAATTTTCCATAGAACAACTACTGTTCTCCACCACTTGCGGTGACTTGCAAATCTGCTTCTAACACTTTTTCGATAGTTGAAGTCTCGAAGTCACTTTGATAGTCAGATAGGGTAGTTTCCGAGAAAAGTCAGAGTTTGAAAAAACGGTCGAAAAGTCACAAGCATGACTTTTCCGCGGGTAATCATTTTTCTCGTGAAAAATGGGCTAAGCCGCTAAAACCGGGAAGATTCCCACCATCCGTGTTTTCCATTGAACGCACAATCTCAGATTTTGATGGGTAGTTTTCGAGAAAGGTCAAAAAGATTCGAAAAACGGTCAAAAAGCGAAAATTTGACTTTTCTAAGGGACATAACTTTTTTGTAAAAAATATTTGAGCGTAACCGCTTCTACAAGGGAGCTCCCCACAACACATCCTTTCTACTGAAACCAAAACCTCAGATTTGCGAGAGTAGTTTTCGAGAAAACTCAAAGTTTCAAAAAACGGTCAAAAAATCGAAAATTTGACTCTTCCGAGGGTCATAACTTTTTGTAGGAAAAAAATTGGGCGTAACCGCTGATGCAGAGGAGCTTTCCGCAATCCTTCCTTTCGATTGAAACTAAAATCTCAGATTTGGGAGGGTGTTTTCGAGAAAAGACAGTTTCAAAAAAATGGTCAAAAAATCGAAAAAATGACTTTTTTAAGGGCCTAATTTTTTATCTAAAAAAACTTGGGCGTAGCCGCTAATGCATAGGAGCTTTCCACAACCTGCTTTATCCATTGGAACCAAAAAATCTCAGATTTGGGAGGGTTGTTTTCGACAAAATGTAGAAAATCCAAAAATATGGGTCAAAAATTCCACCCTTACACTTTTTCGAAGGCTGTAGAAAGCGGGGTAAGGTAAAAAGAGATTAAAAGAGTACGCAGACAGACAGGGGAGTGGGCGTACTTCCCATTGGTACCATTATTTTGAAATATCGGTAGAGTAGTTTTTGAGAAAAACTAAATTTTTGAAAAAAGTGAAGAAAAAAAATTCAAAGCGTCTAAAAAAACACGATCCCAGACATTTTCATAATACGCGTTTTTATCAAATAGGAATTTATGTAAATAGTTTGCCACTTGGCTTGATAATACATGTTGCCCACCTTCCTGGTGCTCCTGGATGGAGACTGACTGTTCAAAATGGTTGTTGGGTTTGAGAGGCAATTCCCTGTTGAACAATGTGGACATCAGAGTTGTCTTCCCAATTCCAGTCTCCCCTATGAACAAAAGAATACACATTTATAGCCTTGTAAGGTATCGCCACCATCAACTCACCCAGTGACTTGAGAATTTAAGCAACAATTTAAAAGATAACGTTTATTTTAATATGGTAAAAAGATCTTAACAGTTATCACTTCGACAACCGATATTACTAGAACCTGAGTGACTTCATTATACCTTAAGTAACTTCATTCTTACAGTTTATACCAATTTTGCAAATTAAATGTAATAAGCAAGTGCTCGCGCTCATTTCACTGTTATCAGGAAAGCTCGAAATCAAGATCTCCAAGAAAATGGATTTGAAATGCAAGCTTCTTAAGTCAAACGACTAAACTAATAGAAAACAATATCAGCGCGCACAAATTCTCTAACCTACACGACCTTAATACGTTTCTTCTCCAATTGAATCACACCTCAGATACAGAAAAAAAAGCTAACCGATGCACATAACATTGAAGTAGAAGTCTTTTGACAATACATGTTGCACTGCCCTGTCTGGGAGAGAGAAAAATCCCACTGGACCATTCAGTTTAGCTACAGGCGGAGCTTCAGTGGAGGTAGCAGCAACCATTTCCCACTCTGAAAAAGCTCATTGCTGATGTATGTAAAACACAAAAAAAAACAAGCAAACTGCACATTAAAAAAGCTCAGCAAAAATAACATTAAATTCTATTTTATACCAAATATATGCAATATTAAACAATGCTAGACAAATCCTGATCAGGTCAAAAGAGTGAGCGATAAATTATATCACTATCAGTCTTCAGATGGAAGAAACTAAAAATGACACATTTTCATTGAAAAATGAAAAATAATTATAAACCAATTTATCATCTTATGTCATGACATGATGGACGACCTTCATGTAACCATATATCAAAAGCGTGGATCGGCAAAACACGTCATGTAAAATGATGAATTGTGCAATTCTGTTTACTTCCACTGAGCTGAAAAGAGTGACATCACTTTGAAATTAGATCACCCCGGCTCCCTTTAGTTTTTCAACAAGGGTGCTCACATCGGGTACTGTTTGGCCTGCTTCTCTAACTGGGGGGTCTTCCACTGATAGCACCTGTATTCTGGGGGTCATATCTACTCCCAGGTCAGCGGGAGATAATTTGGTCAACGGTTTCTTCTTGGCTTTCATGATGTTGGGTAGTGTCGCATACCTGTTTAAAAATTCAGATAGACCAAGATACCCAAAGAGTAATTTCTAAATCTAGATAGAAAAAAAAATTAATTCGCGAAGCTGATTTGGATTTAAGTTAGGATTAAAATAAAACAAAGCCAACAGACAGCCGGAAAAAGACAATGAGATCAAGGATACCAAAAAATGACTTATTTTCTTGTTAAAATTTTCGAACTTCTAGATTCACAGAAAAATATATTTCATAAAAACTCTTTGGGTAACAAAAAAAGTTGGACGATTGACACAATTTTGATAAAAACCCTGATTGAGAAAACTGTTTCAATGGGATTTTTTTATTCTGCTGGAAATACGGAAAATTTAAATCAAGTTTTGAAAAAAATGTCATTCACGATTTTCCCCATTTGCAGCTTGGTTATTGAAGAGCGTTATTTGCCGTCCATTTGGCAAATTAGTTTAAACTTCAAATTTGAGCATGAAAAATTTTAAGTGAAAAAAAAACACGCGAAATAAATAGCTATCTCCGAATTCTCACTGGAACGTACCAAATTAACAGTTTCAAACGTAACGCTTTCCATGGATTAAATATTCCGATAATTATTCCATTTCATTCAAATACATGGATCCTAAAAATAACAAAGGATGGTGGCTGTGCGATTAGCTCAGCGATTTCCGACCAAAAACAAAGCAAAAAAAAACATCAAATCGAGTTGGTAAAATTACAACCAAAATAAAACATATTTCGAAAAGAACTGACATCGAAACGGCTAAAATGCGCAAAAAAGTCTGTTCCAGTAACGTTCCAACAAAAACGAGTCGTGCTTAAAAAGCAAGTTAAAACACGTGTTATGTTATCAAGTTCAAAATCTCTGTGAGCGAAAACGAGTCGTGCGATGCTTGAGAAGTTCCGACAAAAACGAGTCGTGCTTAATAAAGCAAGTTAAACACAGAGCCGAAGTTGCACTTCGCATACACAAGCAAAAATATGACCCATGAGGCTACTAGAAAAAACCGAATGAGTAACCTTTGAGAGTACAAAATTTCTTAAGTGACGCAAGCCAATTATGACGCATCAACAGTACCAGTCAATTAGAAAAAAAATACTAACTAACATGCCTCAATTTATCGTAGGGACGCATTTAAACGTTGTGATCATTTTTCGTAAAATAATGGGGGTTTAAATATTGCCATTTTGTCCAATACGGACAAAACGCGCGAAATTTTTCGCGCTATTACGGACGCATTTATCGAACGGACGCAGGAAAAAGTTAATTAAAACATCCGACCCTGCCCAGGTTCGAACTCTCTTATTTTGTTGCGGGTCTCCTTCCTTACCTCTACGCTACAGATCCATGATACCTAGAAGCTAAAGTACTATTTGTAAAATAATAGTCTGTTTTAATATACTTAGCATTAGCTGCACTTAATAGCTGGTCATTGATCAAAAAGATTACTTTCAGGACGAATTTTGTCGCAACAATAATTGCGTCGCAACAATATTTTCGAAACGATATTTTCGGAAAAAAAGGGAGTTCATACTATCACACAAACTTTGCTTATGTAAAAAGGCATCAACTGAGTTAACTTTTTACTATTCGAATGTCAAAGCACATGCTATCAAAAAGTTGTAAAGGTGCCAAATTTTGCGTCTTAGGTTATTTTGCGTCTTAGGTTATTTTGCGACTGAGGTTAGAGAAAAAAATTGCGACTTACTTAAGAGAAAAAATGTCGTACAATTAGACTAACGCTCACTAAAATCCACAAGTGTAATTATATATTGTATTTTAAATTAAGATGTAACGCAGATGATGCCAACCTCAGCTATACCGCGGTAACTTGTTTGTTTTTATTAAACAGTAAATCTTGTGCTACCCACAGAAATCGCAAGAAAATAGTTTTGCTGAAAAAAAAACGACCGAAATAATTGTCTTCACTTCATTTATTGACACTAAACGCGAGGCTCAGTCATTAATTTAGTTACAATGATGCACAGTTTTGACTGAGCTTTATGCCAAATCTGTATGACTAACAGTTTTTCCATATTTGGAATATAATAGTCCGTGTTAATATTCTTAGCTTTGGCTGTACTTAATAGCTGATTATTGATCAAAATGAACACTTTCAAAAAGAAAACTTTCTGTCGCAACAATATTTGCGTCGCAACAATATTTGCGACTTAGGTTGGAAAAAAGAGGGTTCATACTATCACACAAGCTTTGCTTGTAAAAACACGTGTAATATTTTCAAGTTCGAATTCTGTGAGCGAAATTATTTACAGGAAAATGTCTAGTACCGCATGATTAAAAAATCCGCTCGAAACCCTTTTGATACTCAGATCAATTCAAAGCAATCATAAACCGCACTCCATAATGAATCATAGCCAGCTGACTTAACGCAAAAAGTCAAAGAAAAAGAAAAAACGCAAATTAGAGGGAAAAAAATATGCCCATAAACCTTTCAGTTTCTTAAATAATTTCTGACTGATGCTTTTTTGATAAAATTAACACAATTTGAGAAAACTGGATCAAAAGGTAAAAAATTTATTCCACTGGGAAATATGATAATTAAATTTCTTTTTCGAAATTAGAACTCAATCTATTTTTAGAGACCCTTCAATTTTTGCTGTTCGATTATCGCGTTTGCCTTTTCTATCAAAAGAAATGAAGTGAAACTAAAAAGAAATCAAAAGTCAGGCCACGAAAAACCAAAATTGAGCGTGAAAAAATTTTATGACTTTATTCTGAAAACACAAAAAAGATCTTTAAGATTTATATCAGAACAGACTGCTCGTATCAGGGCGAAGCCCTGATAGTTCCGACTACTACCTTATAACGTCTATGGAGCAGTAATAACATGAAAAAATTAAATGTAATAAAATTAAATTAAAATGTTTTTAAAAAAAGTTTCAGATGTTTTTCATAAAAAATATCACCCCACACGCCATATTAAGTACAAAGTGATAGTTTCGCTCCTAGTAACAAATCAGTTAAGGCAAATAAGCTTCCTTCAACCAATTTGGAACGAGTTCAAAGACGGATTAAATCTCGCTTACGCGTTAATAGCGCGAAAAATGTCGCGCGTTTTGTCCTAAATTGGACAAAATGGCAATCTTTAAACCCCCATTACTTTACGAAAAATGATCACAAGTCAAATATCTTTTCAAATTTAAGCTCAGGACAACAATACCTTTTGAATGATGTAGAAAAAACTCCGTCAAAAATGGCTGGTTAAAAATTCGAAATTTGTCTGAAGAAAAAAAAACCCACCCCGAGCACAACTATTCTGTTACTTTCGTTACAAAAGTCGAAACAATAATCACTACGTTCACTACTCTTAAAACACGTGGTTAACTTGGACTGAAAATGAAAAAAAAATAATGGAATTAAAATATTCATTACACTAACGCGAAGCGGAGCTTCACATCAACTGCGATATCACAAACATTAAAACAGCATTTCAAGCTTGCAAATAGCAAAGGAAAGTATCCGTCCGAAAGAAAGAAAAATGACAAGATAATTTGAAGGCAACACTGAAAAAGCCGGAAAAATTAGTGCAGTTTAATTCCATACGATTCGAATAATTGAAAATTACTTTCATTTAAAGCCTTACAATACTCCTAAATACACCAATACATAAGCACACACTCACATAAATTTCATTTAATAATCCAAAACTGAGACGACACAGCTTCAGTCAATAATGAGGTTACAAGCAGAAAATACTATAGGAAAAAATCGGTATTAGTTCGACGGAAATAACTATTAGTTCGTTTTCTCAAGCTGTCCTTGAGATTTTGGCTACAGGAGTCTCAATGATGCTGGACAGCGCGGTTCCGTAAGAATCCACAATTGCCCGAGTTATTGATGTCTCTCAAACGCTCACAAACGCAATGTCTCTCAAATATTGATGTCTCCCAAATGCTCAGATAGTTCAAAAGATGTTTCTGGGCACAATTATAATTCCAAATCTGACGAGATATTTTTTGTTCGAGAATTTATTTATTATTTCTATCATATCTATGGTTTTCAAAATCTCTCCTCTCTTTTACTTTATTCCAGCAGTAATTTTCTTTTGTTCTCTTTTGTACTCGCATTTCATTGGTTCATTTGTATCAATAATTTTATTTCGATTAAACTTCATTTAGCTTAAAATGAATAAATTTACTGCGCCACTTGGTAAGGAAATCTCAATCAAGGTATAAAAGCAGGAAGAACGTTATGATAGTTCGAAACCCTAAATATGGATATTTCAATAGTTATATAGATAATTAAACTGTTTAAAACCTGAATATACGATTTAAGCCAGATTCAAGTGATCGTTGGAAAGAAAAATAGATCAGTTACTAAATCGACGAGAGTTAAGACGAAAAACAATGAGTCGAAAAAATGAAGCCCTAAATCCAATTATGACCAGAAAAACAACTTCCAAGCACGACCTGAACCTTTGCGCCCCCTATGCGGCGCTACGTCACTACACAAACAATTTGGTGAAAAAAAGTTAATTACTGGAAAATACAGAGCTGATTTAAATCATCCGGCCAAAACAAAAAAAAAATGAAATTCCAAACGCGTGTTTCTCAAATTGGGCTGAGATGAGACAAAAAGTGAACAGAACAAAAGTTTCTTAGAATTTCACCAGAATTAATATGCTGTATTTTTATGCCGAAATTCTGAACCAAAAACTTCCACCCAAAAATAGGTCATTTTGGCTTTTTTAGACTATCAAGACACAGCCTAGCAAAGTTTTAGAGGTATATAACTTTCAAAAATTTGCGTAAAACGTTAGAAATTTGTTTTTAGCCAAAGATTTTGATTTTTATTTAGTAAAAAAAAGACCTTTTTTGGCTTATCAACTAAAAATATATTCTCTTATAAAGATTTCAATATGTTTTATCCTTCTAAAACTTTGTTGGGGTGTGTAAGAACCTTTTTTTATAAAACTTTCTCTTCAGATAACTTGGTAGTTTTAGCGTAATTCTTCGTCTTTAAAAAAAACCAAAATTACTTAATTTTTGGGGTAAAATTTTGGTTTAGAAAAAATTGCACCATATTAATTCTGGTGAAATTTTAAGAAACTTTTGTTTCTGTTCACTTTTTGTCTAAGTTTAACCCAATTTGAGAAAAACGAGTTATTTCGTTTTGTCCGGATAATTTAAATCAGCACTGTAGTCTAATTCCCTATAACATGACAGTTGCTCTTGCAAGTGTAAGGACGTAGATTTTTTTAAAGCTCGGTACCTCAAAATCTTGGCTTTTTCAACTTCACCAAAAACTTTTTGGGTCAATCGTATTTTCGGAAATGGTTCACCGTTCTCCTTGAAATCTACTCTCATAAAACTTGAACTCGAAGATTATGTACAAATTTTTCAAAATTCATTACTTCAGACACTTTTCAAATATCTTACTGACAGACTATATTTGATTTTGATATTCTAGAAACCTTTATACTGCAGAAACATTCCAGAAAAAACTAAATATTTTAAGAAAGTTGGGGGAAATGATAAACAGCAGTAAAAGTTTTGACTTTACCTTGGCTCGTTCAGTCGTAGATCAGCAGTGATCACGGCGGGTAATTTCACTTTGATAGTCTGCAGACCGCCGTCCACCTCCCGCACCACTTGCGCTTCTGAGTTGGAGTCACTCAAATGCAGCTCTGAGGCGAAAGTGGCTTGGGGCCAGCCGAGTAGTCCAGCAGTCATTTGACCAGTTTGGGCGTTGTCTCCATCAATTGCCTTAAAATTAATCCAATATTTATTGAATCGACACAAGAGCTACTTCAGGGGATATTTTCCGCTTTTGAGAAGTTATTATTTTCAGGTGATGGTATCATGGGAGCAGGTTCGTCCTTTCTGAAAAACCAAACATTGACTAACGATAGGCAACCAATGCAGTGTAAAACAGTAGCGTAAAATTGGAATAAATATTGGCAGCAAATATTTTAAAATTCATTTTTATGCCCCTTTACTTTTTTCATCCGGAGAGATATTGATCGACAAGAAAAAAATTACTATTTTTTCCAAAAATGGCTCGTCAGAAAAACGGTTAGAAATTTTGCGTTTTCAACAAACAGCTCATGAAACGGTTAAAAAATATCAAACTTTTGAAAAAATTTAACTAGTCGATTGACTTTATATGAAGGCGATAAACAAAAATCGATTTTCAACAGTTTATTGAACCATGCGCGCATAATTTAGGGAAGAAATTTCCGAAAAAGCCAAATGCTTGATATAACAAGGCGTTTACCAGGCACTGAGCACAATGGTGAAGCCTTTACTTCTAGAAGGTCAGATCGAGTGTTCGATCCCCTGCCATGGCAAACCGCAATTAATAAATTAATTATAAAAAAGGGTAATTTGTACAATTTGTTTGCTACAATACATGCTGACAGTAAAAATATATATCAAGATGAAAACAATGCTAGAAGTACGAAACACAAAATTTCCAACCAAGATGAAAATCTGAACTTCGCAAAAAACGGTAGACAAGGTCTCTAACAACGTTCAAACGTGAATGTTCAAAAAAAGATTATCAACGGGATTCAAACCGAGACCATTGGATTGAACGTCTCGTGCCCAAACACTAAGCCACTGGCGGCTGGATCAAGACTACTTTCACGCATTCGTTTTCCCTTAAATCAGCTACTTTGGTCGGAAAAAGGTTAAGAGTATGAAACTGCGCTCGCAAGGTCGCTTGAGTAGAATAATTGCGTTTAATAGATTTTCAGAAAAGCAACCATCCATCATCCAACACAAGAGAAACCAAACTTTCCACCACTTCCACATAAGATAATTATTTCACAGAGGCAAAGCTGAGGTTCGATACAAAAATGAATGACTGTGATTAAAATCAAATGAAAACCTTCAAAAATTGTTTTGTCACAAAAGTTGCAAAAAAGATCCCGAACAAAATTACCTGCACCATTATAAATTTTACATGGAGCTTTCGGAAAGCAAGAAAAAAGTCGAAAAAAAGAAGTAGCAGAAACTACACCGGCAAAAATAAGCAGACAGACAAAAATCTAAAATAGCCGAAAATTTACAGTTTTTAAAAAAAAAAAAACAGACTGCGACTGAAATGGAACTCCCGGGCTTTGTCATTTAGCATGGGTGATAAATCAACTTAGAACAAAGCTGAACCTTCAAAAAAATCGGACTTTCAAAAAGCACTAAGTTTGCAAAAAAAAACTAAGTTTGTGGAGTCCCGGCCGGATTCCAAAAGCTTTTGCCGTCTCAAGCATGTGTGTTACCTCTGCGCCATGTGGTTGATTGAATTTATAATTCATAATAAACGAAGTATATGAGTGAGTCCAGGATCCAGGAGGATTCCTGTGAACAAAAATAATAACGGGAAAAAAACGTATCCGATTGCAAAACCCTTGCTCATCGCAAGAGTAAAAAAGCATTCACGAACTCAAGAGTGAAAACAAGAAAAACACCAGTTTTTATGATATCTTGCGAGGGACATGCATGCAGTTCAGACGACCACTCATGCCAGAAAAGAAAAGATGACCGAAGGTGACAGAAGTAAAATCCACAGGGGTCTGGTCGAGCGAGGATGGGTCATCAGACTCGGAGACAACCACGCCATCGCCAAAATGTGTGGACAAAAAATACGCCCCCACAAATGTCCGTGGAATAACCATCCGGACGATCAATACGAGCGAGATAATCTAGCCTAGCAAACACCGATATAATACTATATTCTATACCGATACAAGTAATCGATGTGGTCGAAAAAGCGGAGGCAAACAGAAATTTGACACTGACTAACCACCAAACAACAACGAGGGGAATAAATCACTTCGAAATATCAACAGCGAAATGGATCTTAATGAAAAGTCGACGGAATTTCAAGCGTGCATGAAAGTTCTTGAAGCCATAAGACAAAAGCCGCGGGCAAAAACTAGACAAAATAGATCTAGTATCACCAATAGTCAGCCCAAACCATGAGGAGTCCACGTCAAAGTAATGTTATACAGCGCACAATTTCTGAAAACAAAAAAATAAATTTTGAAATAAGGATAGCAGGTTGCTGTGTAAGTAGCACAGAATGTTCCGACTTTATTCAGAAAAACTACAAAAAAATCTTTTTTCAAATTGAGTGGTTGTTTGTGAGCGGTGTGATTGACAAAAAAACCAAAACAAAGTGTAGAAATTCAAAAAACAATAGGCACAATTGATATCACTTGACCGAACCAAAAAGAACAACAGACAAACAATGAACTTGAAACAATTCTACAATTGTAGAAGGAATGGAAAAACAAGAAAATAAAAAAATGCTTTCTTTGAACTTAATTCAGTTTTTCAAAGAGGTCCTAGTGCGAGTAAACTTGTGCATTCAAGAAATTGGTGCCAGAGTCTTATTGATTTCAAAATTACAACAGAACATTAAAGAATAAAAAATCGGTAAATAAGATGACAGACTTGAAGCCGACATCCAAAAAGCTAGATATTTTCGCCAAAAAATCAAAAAGTAACAAACTTCATGTAACGCCGACATAGGATTCACAATAACTTTCAACAAAAGTCCTTTCTGCGGAACTAAGCAGACAGAAAACAAACCAAATAAGCCAACATTTTCTATTTGCAAGAAAAACAGGTCTCAACTAGAATCGAACACCCAGGCTCAGTCGTCTCAAGCATTGACATTACAGCAACTGGGAATGAATCTGAACCATTGAGCTATGATAACTAAGCCTACAAAAAAGACGGACGATAGTCGGAAAAAGCACCAAAACCCTAGTTTGCAAAGAAGGGCCCAGCCGGATTCGAACCGCAAATCTTTGCCGTCTCGAGTACTTGTTTTACGTCTATACCAGATGTTTGATTGGATTTGAATTCAAAAAACTTGAGCAGAAACCCTTCATGACGAAAAGAAAGTCAAAAAAATTCTTAACTTAAAAAATGTTAGGTTCCTGTTCCCCTTAGCGCAACCACACGCCCACAAAAACTTTTTCAAGGGTAACAACGCAAAAAGAGGCCAATAAGTTGATGTTATTTAGGCTGAAACTTATTGAGCTGCTAAAAATGAGTTTAAAAAACAAAAAAAGTGAAATTTTAACAAATAGAGCTGATAAAATTACAACCAAAGAAAAAAGCAAACTTCTATTCGGCCGAATTTTTAAAATGCTAAAAAAAAGTGCAGTGAAAACTGTTTACAGCTAAAATAAACGATTGTTAGATAAGGCAACTATGCCGACAAAACAGGCAGACAAATAATAGGACGATTTACCGGTGAAAAACAACTGGTCCTGGTCAGATTCGAACCCAGGACCTCTGCCGTTATAGGTGTACTCGTTAACACCAGGCTAAGTTTCCAAGAGACAGTACAAAAATTGAATTCATTATGACCGAAGGTACCACCAGGAGTCAAATGAGTCCTGTGGACAAAATGATTTACGGTAAAAAAAAGTCTAGTACCCGATTACAAAACCATTGCAATCGCAGGGGTGAAAAACGTCGAAAATTCTTCAGTTTTTTTTCTCAAAACTGCATGAAATTTTATTTGAACCTCATCGAAAACCACAAAAACATCCTAACGTAAAAAACTCAAAAAATGCATTTCTTAACAGTTAAAAAGCCTCTTTTGAAAGAAACGGTCGAGCAAAAAATGCACATGCATTATGAAAACGGGGTGTGCAACGTTTGGAACTTTCAGCACCTGTTATCAGCACACTCAATTAGCACAAAAATATTGAACTTAATAATTTAACAAATAATGTAAATTCGAAACATTTGGAGACTAAATTTGGAAAAGAAACCGACAGAGATTAAATCGGACACCATGAAGCCGAAAAATCAACAGAAAAAAAAAACCAAAACATTCTAGATTTAGCAAGAATTGTTAGTGGTGCCGGGTAGTTAAGATTGAATTGTCATGAAAATGATCATGTCAGCAGCGTAGCAGGTTCATAAGTGTTTAAAATAATTTTGTTTAACTAGTTGTTAACCCAAAGAGAGTCTATATTCCAATGTGATAAGGCTTGCAAATCGCAAGCGTTAGAAAAAAAATTGGAAACTACTAGGTAATGCCAAATTAAGCTTAATTTCTGCCTAGTAAGTGTTAAACAGTTTTCGTTTTAATAAGTTAAGCGCTGTTTCCCACAACACTCAGAACACATTTTGAACATTTTTAAATCGTTTGAATCACGGCTCAAAAGAATTTAAAATGATATATCACTGGAATCATTCCAATGGTTACTTGTAGTACCTTATTTTTCGTGGAAAACGAAAACACTAAAACAGCGAATCCATGGTTCCTCCCCATTTTTACTGGTCAAAACAGAAACCAACTTACGAAAAAGCACCGAATAAAAAATAATTTCGACAGTCCAAATGAGAATATCAAAAGTTTCCTGAAATGCTTTCAAATCAAGTTTTTTGAGCAATCGAATACAAAATAGACCAGAAACTAAGCTGACTAACTTCAAACGGAAACCAGCAGAAGGAAACAAACAATGGTTATCTATATTTCAGAACAAAACCTAACAAACAAAATATAGCAAACAGACAGTCGGGAGAAGGGTCAGAGAAAGCAAGGAAAAAGAAAAAACCTGTTACACAAAAAGTGAAACGCAAAATTCTATTCGGCCGGATTTTTAAAGTGCTAGGAACAACTGCAGTGAAAACTGTTTACAGCTAAAATAAAAGAGTGTTAGATAAGGCAACTATGCCGACAAAACATAGACAGACAAATAATAGGACGATTTACCGTTTGAAAAACAACTGGTCCTGGTCAGTATTGAACCCAAGACCTTTGCCGTCCCAGGCGCATTCAGTACCACCCAGCTAAGTTTGCAAGATACACTCCAAAGTTTGAATTCAATATGAACGAAGGTACCACCAGGAGTCTAATGAGCCCTGTGGACAAAGTTGTTTACGGAAAAAAAGCCTAGCACCCGATTACAACACCCTTGCTATCCCCGGGGTAAAAAAAAACTTCCATTTTTTGCCTTCTGAAAATTATTTGAAAATTTTTTGAAACTCATCGAAAACTACAAAAACGACCGAACATAAAAAACCAAAAAACTGCATTTCGTAACATTCAAAAAGCCTCTTTTGAAGGAAACGGTCGAGCAAAAAATGCATATGCATTCTGAAAACGGGGTGTCCAATGTATGGAACTTTCGGCATCTGATAACAGCACACACAATTAGCACAAAAAGATTGAACTTAACAATTTAAAAAATAATATAACTTCGAAACATTTTTGAATTAAATTGCCTGTTGTTTTGTGCTGTTCGCCGTGAAGCGCGATAAAATTAGAGTGAAAGGACGACATAATAGCTCAATTAATGAGTAAAACACAAGAAAGAACTTTAGAGTAGATTCAGAAATGATTCTCAGAGGGTAATTTGAAAAACTAACGAATTTTTCTTGACAAAAAGTTTTACGAATTTTTTCCAAATCTGAATGAACATTTATAGGTTTTCGATATGAAAACAAACTCTTTTTTTCTTTGAGTTACGCAAAATCCACACCATCTATGAACTGTAAATATAAAAAAGCCGCTAAGTGAGCAAATGAACCGCGACAAATCTTAAAATTTCATTCTTTAGTTCAAAACCTCGGAGTACCCTGGCAGAGCCTCACTACACAGATAATAATTTCAAGTTTTGCAAAATTTTTTATAATTAAGTTTTCTGAAAAAATTTGGGAAAAATCCTAAAAAAACGTGGTATCTCTAAAACTACAATGATTTGAGCAGTCATATTTGGCGGCGAAATTCGTAATTCCTGAGAGTACAATGACAGAGCCTCACTACAGAGATGGTAATTTCAAATTTTGTGAAATTTTTATATCTAAGTTTTCTGAAAAATTTTGAAAAAATCCTAAAAAAACGTCGTATCTCGAAATCTACAAGGACTTGAGCAGCCATAATCAGAGGCAAGATTCGCAACCCCTGAGAGTACCCTCACAATATCCAACAACAGGATTGAGATCTTCGTTTTCAAATTTTGTGAAATTTTTATATCTAAGTTTTCTGAAAAACTTTGAAAAAATCCTAAAAAAACGTCGTATCTCGAAATCTACAAGGACTTGAGCAGCCATAATCAGAGGCAAGATTCGCAACCCCTGAGAGTACCCTCACAATATCCAACAACAGGATTGAGATCCTCGTTTTGAGCAGCCATAATCAGAGGCAAGATTCGCAACCCCTGAGAGTACCCTCACAATATCCAACAACAGGATTGAGATCTTCGTTTTGGAACAGGGTGAGAATTTCAAAAATTGAGAAACTTTTTAAAATTAAATTTTCTAGAAATTTTTGAAAAATCTCGAAAATTACCTATCTTGTAAACTAAAAGGATTTGGCTATTCATATATGGAGGCCAGAATCGCAAAACCTGGGAAAACTCAGACAATATCCTACTATTGGATTGCTAATTTCAAACTTGATGAATAAACACCAAATTTAAACTGGAAAATTGAAAAAAAAACCTTAAACATTGCAACATGCGATATAGCTTAAACGTGAAAAAATTCTTTTGTTAAACATGCAAAAATAATACGTTGAAAAAGCTTAAACATGGCGAGATAGTGAAGCCCGTAATTAAATATATAATAGATAGATAGATAATAGATGAAAGTTAAAAAATTAGGCGACGGGTAGACAGACATAATCAAATTAATTAAAAAAGCAGGTATACAGACAGACAGACTTAATTTGGCCTCGAAAAAAAAATACTGAAAAATTAATGACCTTGCAAAAAACTAATTGAAAAATTTTCTTAAGCATTGCAATATATGCTATAGCTTAAACATGAAAAAATTCTTTCGTTAAACATGCAAAATTATTATGCTTAAACATGGGAGATAGCTGTCACTCGCATTTAAAAATAGTATAGATATAGATAGATAGATAGATAGATAGATATAGATAGATATAGTGTAACATACATGAACTTTAACATTCACCTTCGTAAGTAAAGGCATCGAACTTTGATTAGTGGCGTGATGTTGATATTTGTAAATAGCGTGATGTGAAGTAAAGTTCATGGTAAGTTAGATGCTAATCTTGTCAATACTGATTGAGAAGACAAAATTATATTCAGCCACCAAAACCAGGCGAATTAACTTTGAATTAAAGTTTGCAATCTCCGTTTTCAATAACATCAGGGGACGTCGGACGGACTAACAACAGGCATCCGAAAAATAAATTCAATTGTATAAGAGCTCAAATAAAGTGCATTATCATTGATATGCGATATATAGATAGATAGAAGAAAAATTGTTTCGTAACACACAAGAAAAAAAAAGGTCAAGCTTCAATACTTAGCATTACATTTTCTTCCAATGTTCCTAGAGAGCAAAATCTGAGCATCAACTCAAAAGTGACTTTGAAAAGCAGGCTTGAAAAAACCTGGTCAAAACACGATTACAGAAAAACGAGGAAAAAACCAAGACACACTAGCTCAATATGTCAAAAAGTACTTTGCTCTTGATTACTCAATTATTTACATACCTGTTTTCCCAGAAGAACTAGATCGATACTGTGCTCGGCTACTAGCTTAGCAATCATTTTGGAAACGTGTAACGGTGAAATTGCCTCATGAGTTGCTTGATCTACCTCAACATGAATTGCTTTATCGACTCCCATTGCTAAAGCTGTTCTGAGCGTCTCTTGTGATTGGGGAGGGCCACAGCTGAACGCAATAATCTCGTCAGCTTTTTTCTTTTCTTTTAACCTAGTTAAAAGAAACATACTTGAGAATACAAATAAGGATACAGATATGAAATTTAAGAATTCTTCTTGCTAGCAAGAATCTTCATTACCTTATAGCCTCTTCAACGGCTATTTCGTCAAACGGATTCATGCTGTGTTTGATTCCCTCGGTGACAACTCCGAGTTTATCAGGGCGTACTCGGATCTTAACAGCATAGTCGATAGCTCGCTTCACACCTACTAAAATTTTCAAACCCATGGCCTAAAAGAAAGTCTGCAACTATTGAAGTATAATTTTATTATAGTTTATAATAGAGTAGCTGCACTTTGTTTAGACGAGCAAAAATAGCAAAAAAAAAGATTATGTTACATTCGCTCACTAGTCACAGCTGAAGTTAAAAGGGATAGGCTCTCAGGTCAGGGCTAATATTGTGGTTATGGGAGGGAGCCAAGTCAAGGTTCACTTCGACATGGAACTTTACAGTCGTTACAGCTTAATGGCTACTGACACAATAAACTCCTCCCCTCTACAAAGAAAATAGAACGTCCCCGAGGTCCGGTCTCAAGATCTACTACTACTGGACAAGTATACTAATGGCGCGTACGATTTCGATTGTAGCGATTATGCGAAGTTGAAAGAACCAGCCCGTGATTTGAGATCGTTTACAAAAAACCACGATTATTCAAATGCGATCAGAATTTCTTTTTCATGTAACAGTCGCCTACTTCGGTCACATATAAGGCTTAAGAAGAATAGGCCCTATAACCATTGGCTCAAGAGTCAGGGACACTATCTCTCGTGTTTTTCTACCTCAAACGGTCGGAGCCAATTCGGTTCGCTTGCGACATGAGACTAAAAACCCGTTACAGCTTAAAGGCCGCTACCAAAATACCCCCCCCCCACTCTAGAAAATAAGAACGTCCCCATACTTAGGTCTCAAATTACCCAAAATACACGAACGCCGTTAAAAACAGGGTCGGAACAATCCGCACAGTTACTTTTTATTAGACAGTGAAACTTTGATCCATTTCAGATGGATCAACCTAAAACTCGCCCTATCTCAACATAACGATCATAAAACACACTCAAGAAAACTGAATTGAGAACTCACATGTCGGCACACTCCGGAATTAGAGGTAACTAAATTAATGAGCATGTAACATTCGCCCGGAAGATACATATCGAGGGAAAACAAAACTAAGTCTTAAGACGACTGGCTAACGTCTAAACAGAGCTTTGCATGCTTGTCACCGTCTCTACCAAGCCAGTACTTTCGGTGGTCTTTTCCAACATCGGGTCGACAAAAACGTTACTGCTTCCGGCTTTGGTCAAAACACTCAAATTAACTAGATTACATGCAGAAATAGTGAGCTCATGGCTCAGTATCCCCAGACCACGAGGTCACTCCTAAAAACAGGGCTACTACTATTGATTATATTACTATTGTTTTTGTTCAGTAGATAAAAATCATCATCTCCATCGAAGATGGATCAACCCTTTCCCCCAACTCCTAGCTTCTCATCCTTATCAAAATAAATCCAGATGTTAATTAAATTCAAATCAGGACATGACAAGAAGCTAAAAGTCCATATAACAGGCTAAAAGTTTCAGTCCCGAAACCCTTCCGGATTCTTGAATCCACTGAATCAAGCTCGCTAATCTTGACTTCCTCTTAATCCGGAAGGCTGTCCTCCACCCTTCACCGTTGTCTGCAACGGCCCTGCAACTATTGTAGCGACACAATAGTTGCAACTCGGAGTGTTCACTGCTATTTCTGCAATCGGCTATTGTTTTTTCTCACAATTTTCGTACTTCTCGTCCGCGCAACTAATGTTGTTGTGTTTTTCTTTTACCTCTTTGCCAAAATGGCCGTTTCTGACGTTTCTCAGAAATGTTACGTCATCACTTCGAATTTTTAAAATTTTAAAATACCAGAATATTCTAGCCCTCACCGTTTGGCCAATCGTTCCAATAACGTTCTTAATTCTTAATAATCATCAATCCGGAAGGCTCGCTGCTAAAAATTCGAACTCTGCAGAGATTGCATTTTGGCCATTCTGGTCGAATGTCACATACTCCCCGGACAGTCCGGTCAATGTCCTCATTGAATCACGCAATGTTCGTAAAATAGATACAGTGTCATCGAACAGAATTTACAAAATGCACGAAATTACTTTTATCTACGTCACATCGACTCACTGCAGAATACAAATGGCATCATACTACATCACTATAGCCTTCAAATTCTTTCATTAATCTAAACATTGAGGATATGACCTAAGATAAAAACATATTTTCTGACTTCCAGTGTCAATGTCCCGATTAAAACTTTTTCTCTTAGATTTAAAAGGTGTTGGCTTGCAGGACAGTCCTGCCAACCAACAAGCTAAAATTATCCTACTATGCTTCTTCCCTTCGGAAATCTTGCTTGTTATTGTCCTGAATATTAAAACTAAGAAACTGTGGTTAGAAAGAACAATGAAACAATCTCCCTCTTCGAGAGATTACTCAAGCCTTCCATGTCACCACAAAGTGATCAGTTCTCCTAGCTGGTTAAAAACAGTCATGTAGGCTGGAATATTTAAATATACTCCTTCACTTAAGCCTTCCTAAATAAATAGTAAGTGAGTGTCTCTAAAGCCACTTCAACTAAAATCAAAATGCAAACTTACAAATGCAACAATTTCAAAACTCAACTTAATGATTCAGTTTTCAATTACAACTTGGTTGCTTGGTTTCTCACTTGAGTTTTTCACACACATAAAACAATTCTGAGTTTTAACTTTTCTTCATCACTCCTTTGTTTTCTTCTTTTTACGTCGTTTAGAAGTTCTAAAACTTCTAAATTCTTCTAATTTCATCTTTTTTTTTCATCTTGTCTTTCGGTCATCCGTCAATGTTCCATCTCTTCCTCCTGTGATACTGACTCTGCACTCTCAGTTTCCGTATCTTGTAACACGTCGTTAGCTATCCTGACGCTGCTGGAAGCCGTCCTCCAACACTTCTGCTCTTCCACCCTCTGTTTACAACAAGGTAGGGGATCCACGTTGGATTCTCTGTTCCTGCAGAAGCTGTTATGGAGACACAACGTCACGTTTCTCTCCAAATCCTCCTTTAACATCTCTGCCTTCTCCTTTCCACTACGTTCACTCGTCCTGGAAATTCTTTTCACAGCGGTGGTCACTGCATTCCGATGAGTCACGAGAGCTTGCTTGAAAGCTCCTGCTCCAATGTCCTGCCGTGCTTCGACATATGCTTTTTCGCATACTCGTACAACCATGCAGTCATGTTAGCTCTGAACCATGGCAACAATCGTTTCCTCGCCCATATCTTCTTCACTTCCATCGGAATGTTTAGAATTTTGCACATTGTCTCAAAGAGATCTAAATCTTTTAGACAATCTAACTTCCGCAACTGTTCTCTCGTCGGTGCCTCCTGTCTGTTATTTTCTCTCACATGAGCTTCCAGCCATCGTATCGCCATCATAACTCCCACTATCACTATCGTTACGGGCTGTGATGAATCTGGTAAACCCATGGAGAGCAGCTCTCCAGAGTCCCAGATCAACATCAGATTACTACGCTTGGGATACCACCAGGTCTGCAGCAAGCAGTGGCAAGGAAACTCGTCATGTGTCAACATGATGCTCCTCCAATTAAGTTTTCCCGAAGCTTCCAGCAATTGTTCCACTTCCATCATCACTCGGTGGACTTCATCATTCTCATCTACTGCATTGTAATCTGTGACAGTTGATCCTCTCTGTTTCTGTCTCTCAAAGTCACTGAAGTTCCCACTCACATATCTCATGAACTTCTTTCCTAGTATCGACTCCAATTCTTCTTTGGTTCTCTCTGGAACTGCTGAGAACATCTTACATAGTAACTCGTAAGACTTCTCGGACATTCTCGCCAATCTTACACACTTCAGCACTGAAAAGGCTTGATCCACGATCGTTCTTGTACTCTTCACGTCCACAGCCACGAAATGTACAGGGTATCTGCTCCTGCACATTGGAGCCAACGTTGAACCCACCAAATATCGTGCTCCTGATGGTCTACAATAAGTCTCGCTGTGTCTGATGTTCATTTCTGTCTCGATTGCTTCCCTCCATTTCCCTATGTATTTCTGTTCAGTCTGCAGAAATCCTGGGAATACTTCTACACTGATGGCTGTGACCACCTCATGTTTCTGTTCCAGATTCAATAGTGACTCTAAAGAACCAAACATGCTGTAGAATCCTAGTGCAGTCACTAGATTCACATCGGTTCCTCCATGGCAATCTGCTATCAGTTCCGTTTCTGTTCTAGCTTTCATCACTACATTTCCAAACAATACCGTCAATTGCTTGTGTTGTTTCCCCAGGGTCCTCACACAGTCCAGACCTCCACAAACGTGACCCTCCAGTCCACAGACTTCCGTCAGACAGCTACCAGGTTTGACCCAGTCTTCTGGTCCCCAGCCAGGCAACTCCACTTTATCTTCTCCGTTACTCTTAGAGGCTGTTATCATCACATTATATATGATGTTGAGGTCACGCAGGTTACAGTCTGCATTCAGTTCCCTCTGTACGTCTTGTGTCGCCCGCAATATCGAGTCAGCGTTGGGACTAGGATACCATGATGGCCTCATCAATTCCCACACTGTCATCAAGCTCGTTCTCAGTAATTCATCTGAGAATCCCAACCCAAACTCCACTCTTTTGTCGGATTTTGGTACTGAAGGTGCAGTCACCTCTTCTTCCAAGACCAGTCCCAATTTGGCCTGTGGATTGTTAACGCTCTTAATCGTTGCAATTCTGGACGTCCAGAATCTTAGCAACACCGCCTGCTCATAATCGAAGAAGCAATCGCGTATGTCTTCACTCAGGAAAGGATTGTACGCGATCCCTATGATCCCGGATACGTAGCCATACGATTTCTTCTTGATCGGTCCACAGTATTCACTGGATTTCGGCAATGCTCCCATAGATTCTTTAGTGAGTCTCAGTTCCTTGTTTGAGAATCTCCTGATTTCGTCTATCTTTTTCATGGGTTCTAACTCCTCAGGTTCTTTCATGTTCACCCTCATTGGTTTACTTTGCTGCATATCCAGCAGTGCTAGCAAGAATAAGGCTTTCGTTCGCTCATCGCCTTCCCTCAACATTTTAACACAAGTGTTTAATGCAGGTACTGAAATCTGCTCTATCAGGAATCGAATGAAACAGAGAGCGTCTCTCCGCTTCGCACACGCTACTGCTGCTCCCTCCTGGACTATCAGATCCCTCAGGTTCGTCATA